GAAAAAAAACATAATGCGCTCACAGTATACAGAATTCTCCCCTAGTTTTCAACTCCAAGAACAGTTTTAATTCTAATGTCTTTCTTCCATAATTTCTACTTTATTTAAATAAGACATGTTTAACATAATGGTCAAGGAGACCTAATTTTACTGTTTCTCCTGAGCCATAAAGATGGGACCAAATATTCCAAGGAAAACTTGATTCACTTGTTGCCAAGTTGATTTACATGTATTTCTGGTAAAATTCAAGTTACCCAAAACCTATGAAACATAAGCCATTAGCATATTAGCTCAACAAGATCAGGCGTGAAAAGCCTCAAGGCTCCCTCAGATGTGACACTCACCCTCCTATCCTTCTCCACCCACTCCCAGGGTGAGGGCTGAACAGTTTCTCCAGGGGTCACTTTGTAATAAGGTGGGCAAAACAGCCACCCCAGTGAGAAAACCAGCTCAAGCCCTGTGGCCCACGCCTTATAAAGGAGCCAGTGCCCCACCTGCTGGCAAAACCAAGTAAAAGCTGAAACAGCTAAGCCTCAGGCGAAATTTTACTTTGATGTTGAAAGAAAAACAAAAAGGAAGAAAAGAATTGATTATAAGCGTACATTACTGTTTCATACAATGTGTGGTAAGGATCGTGAAAAGCTTTTTTCTCCCACAGAGTGGAATATTTATAGAGGATATGAAAATACTCATGCAAAAAAATGTAATTACATTCAAATCCGTCTCTTTAATATGGATCTGGTTTGCAAGCATGTATGATTTGCATTCCCAGAGAAATCCTCTGATAAATAACATTGATCTCTCCTTTACCCAAAGGGCTATAAGAAAAATTCCTGGGAGGTCAACATAATCCCTGAAATGGAAAAACCATGGGTAAATTCCCAACTCAACTACCTAACAGCAGGTGGGACAGTGTCTCCATCATTCTGTTAAAAGGCTGTATCCCCAGGATCTTTCCTATCTATCTTTCAAAAAAGATTTCCTTTTGTCTCATATGAATTATTTCTGCTAAAATCAATGTCTAATATCAGATCAACTTCAATAGGGATGAAGAACAGTTAAAGACTGGATTTCAAATTACACTACAGTCTTTAATGAAACTCCAACAAAAATAAAAGTATAGCAGGATGTCACTTTTAAACGGGACTAGGCCACATTACTGAAACGAAAACTAATAATAATCACTAATATTTAAGCTCTCACTATAAGGTAGGTATGGTTCTAAAGTGCTTTACAAGTATTAGCTCATTCAAATCACACACCATTATTATACCAGTTTTACAGATGATTTGAGGCATCTAATGGGTAAATACCTTGCCAAGATCAAACAGCTAGTGATAGAGCTGGAATTAGAACCTAATTGGGAGAAGAATGTCACCCCTGTATCAGTAAACAAAGGATGTTACAGCCATCAAGCCTCCAGACACTGCAGCCACCCCTGGCAGTGCACTCTTGGGGGATTCAGGATGGAGGAAGACAGGATACTGGCCCTAGGTAGTTAAGGTGCATAACAAATGAATAATTTCAGTGCCCACACTCTTTCAACTTCCCATACATAAAAAAGTGCTAAATACATTAACTTGAGATGTCTGGCTTTTCTTTAATTAAACAGTAATCTTTTGATATTCCAACTCCCTGGTTTTAGTTGCAAAAACTCCTATATATCCTGGCTCCTCCCTCACCTCTGCAGCAGTCTCTCAGATCTATTTGAGAGGCTGCCTCCCTGGGCTTATGGTCTCAGCAAGCCCACCAAATAAAACAAAATTCTCCGCTTTTAGGTTGTACCTTTTTTTTCAGTCCACAGCCCTAAAATCAGTGCTCCTAACCACATACTTTGATAATTCTGCCCTCCTGCATGCACACCTCTTGTGAATCCCTGCCAGACCCTAGTCAAATGCAAGAGAGTGAGAGATGCTGGACGACATGGGCTCTGTGGACAGTCCTCATGATGATGCAGGCAGGGGAAGGCTATCCAGCAAAGTGGTCACAGAGCTGAGACCTGCAGGCCGTACGGCAGGAAAGGGATTCCCCAGGCAGAGGGCACTCACTTAGCCTGCCAAGGCAAAGGGAGAAGCAGGGAGCGGGTCACTGGAGGGACCACAAGGAGCTTGGTGATGCTGGGGGGACCAGCTGAAGAAAACTCCCTGAGGGAGGCAGGAGTCCTCAGATGACACATCATGGAGGTAAAGGGGCATCACCAAGAGATTTTAAACCAGAAAGTGGCCAGATGTGCATGTTAGAAAGAGAAGTAAGAAATGTAGAAGACATTCCAGGTAAAGGGAAGGGCAGACCAGTCTAAAATATACAAGTCCACATTTTCACAAACTTTATCAAGGAGCCTGGGGCAGTAATCCTGGCGGCAACAGTGCTTACTTGCTCACTTGCTCGTTAGGTTTGGGGTCTGAGCCATGCAGAGGGTGGTATCCACAGAGCTGTGAACACACGTGGAAGAGCAGGCTGGAGGGAGGAGGGGGGTGTGGGATGGAGGCTGAGTGCGAGGTCCTGTGGGCCATCCAGGGTGGACGCACAGCAGGCTGCAGGAGATACAGGTCTGGTGCTCCAGTCCCCCGCATGGACAGCAGGTACACATCTAGGTGTCATCGCACTTAAAGGATGACTGCAGCTGGAGGGCAGCAGCAGGGCACAGAGCATAAGAGGAAAGGAGGAAGTTTTAAAGCAAGGGGTATCTGAGCAACTCAGAGAGAATTCAGGACATGGGTAGGGAAAAGTTTTGTTCTAATTTTTACTAATCTTTAACTGAAATTTAGCATTTCTTTCTGTTGCAAATATAGGCAATTACCTATACCTCTCTCGACACAAGTAGAAATCAAAGATACCTTCATATCACATGACAGTATTGCAACTATCTCAAAGTATTGTCTCCACTCATTACTACTTAAAAATTATAGCAATTATTACGCCTGCCACTAGCTCTTGGTATGTAGCACATCAAGAAAGGATGGATACTATAAAATTACTTTTTTGGTATGTTGATAACTGTGTATCAGCCTGACTGGTTTCTTTCGCAATCCTACCCATTCTAATTTTCATGTATTTTTGTTGTAAGAATCTTTGCTGCAAGCAATTTCAACGTACAACTAACTGGCTGTAAGGCAATTCTGCCATGAAAGATGAAATAACGAAAATAAAATAATAGAGACATTAAAAAGGACATAATGAAACATGAAAAATTAGTAACAAAAAATTTTTTAATTATTTTCTTAGTGAAAGCAATGATACTTCCTTTCTCAAAGTCAGTTATTAAGGATTCAGGATCTAATATTGGATGTAAGTTCTTCATGATATTAAAAAAAAAATCTGCTGTAAGTTCCTTCAGATTTCCCTGGGAGTAAAAGGAACAGACAAAGGGACGTGACTAGTAGTACATATCTGGGCTGCATTTAAATGTTCCATGACAGGACCCAGTCCTTATATTTCACCACATCTTCCAAGCCAGATTCTGTGCCAAAACCCAAAATTCTGTCTATACCAAGTTCTCCACTATCAAATAGCAAAAAATTTTCACCATTTTCATAAAACTTAGCAAGAACCATGTAACCACCTCTCCTTGGAGAGACAGGAGGAGCTAGATTCTGTTTGAATATTGAGTGATACATCTGGTAAAGATGGCCCTGCAGAACAAGCTCCTATATCTACATC